ATGTGAAATTTGTTGATCGATTCGTACCAGACTGGAGAATAAAAATTAAGATGACTAAAATCGTAGTTTCACATCAGACCAGTTTTGCTATGATAATTTAAACCAAACCTTTCCCGTAAAGAAAATCTCGAATATATATCTTTTATTTAATGTTGGTATATCATTTGTTACTTTCTATGCGAACATGTTTTGTATTTAAATTTTAAAAAAATCGTGAAGCAAAGAAGATTTTTATTTGGCTGAACACGAGCAAGGAGCAGTGCTCTTCCGAGCCAATCGGAGCGTTGACCTTCCTTCTACGATACACTACGTTCGTCGGTTACGTAATGTCCTAATTCCATTTTCCCAGCAAATCAGAACGCGAAAAAAAGAAACAAATTGCAACAGGGTGGTGAGACAGCGAAGGAAACAACAACAACAGGGTTAGTGTAAGGATTGACGACAAACTAATAAAGCTTAAAAAAGAAATCAAGTTTTTGTTTTAGTATGGCGGAGCTTACATCAATAACAAGTCTGTTAATTACACCGTACATTAGGACTACAATAACCAGTGACTACCCTAGGGTCAGCGGCACCCGGGGCGGTGGCCCCAGTAACCACCTAGTAACAGGGCTGGTGGAAGTCTCCCGATGTCTGAAGACCAACTATGAAGCCGAATCGTGTTAAAATTTCACATATTATGGGGGAGAGAGAGAGAGAAAAAAAAAACTTTTATTGACGGAATATAACGCAGAACTGAAGGACAGAGGTAAACTTAATTTGAATGCATGTAAAATCTAAAATGTGAGTATATGCTTTGAAGTTAAGCTTTTTTTTTTTTTTTTTTGGTCCTTTGATTGAGCTTAAAAATAAAGAAAAAAACTTTTTCGTAAATTAAAAAAAAAAAGTTTTAAAAATGTCTTTGCTTTTTGGTCCTTCGATTGAGCTATATACAAAACTTGCAGTTTTTCTTGATGTTTTCTTCTCAATAACAGCATTGAGTGATTAATTCGTACGCTCGTATGGCAGGGGCTGACGGCAGACGTTGCCTGCGGCGACTATGTTCCATCATTGAGGTCTCCGAGAGTATATTAGAGCCACGACTCAATCAAGGAACCTTCTTCCTTTTTATATGATGAAACCAGGAAGGATGAAAACCGCTGCATCACTTTCTAAAGTTAATTCAATATGCAAGTTCTTTTTTGTTTGTTTGTTATTGTTATGTCCTCTTATAGTTACCTGTTGCAGGACACCCTTTTCTCCATTTATTGCTCTTGAACAGAGAAAACGGTAGAGAGGAGGAGAGGCAGCGCTCGCTTCCTCTCCAGCGTTCTCTCTGTTAAAGTGGAAAGGGTGGATGGCTTAGCGGTAGGAGCTTGTCAGGTGCGCGCCACCCGTCGTCGGTCGTTTTCACTGTATTTACCCCTTTCGGTTATTACAATTATATAGATTCTAAGCGATCTTCCATTCTCGTCCACGTCATATATTTCGGTATACATCCGTCCTGTTCGCAGTAGAGCCACAAGAGCCGGGCAGTGGGCGCAAACCGAAACGACCCCGGTTGGCCCGGCCCTAGGGGACGCAATCTGTTGACGTCCCTTCTACGATCAACCAACATGATCGTGGCGGGGATCCAGCTAGGGTTCGTGTCCAATCTATGAGCTGTATTTGAAAATCGTCGTCATACGGTGACCGTCCATACCTCGGGGTGACTACGACAACAACGCGATCACCGTTTCTACGTCAAGTGTTGCGAAGGAGAGAGCCGAAAAGAAAAAGTCTACTTTTACCTTTGAAATTACAGCTCGACAAAGTGCCAGTCAGCTTGTGTAAGGTAAGAACATAGATGGGTACATAAGCGCCAACTACGGGGGGGCAGTGGGGCTCGTGCCCCCCCCGGACGGCTTCACGGAAGGGCAGAGCCCCCCCCCCCCCCCCCCCCCCCCCCGGCCCCGGCCCGGGATTTTTTTTAAAGAGCTTGGCTTGGGTCTGCGCCCATCGACAGTGGACTGTTGGCCGTCCTGACTGGCAGCTATTTCACAGGGGCCTGTTCATTCCCGCTTCTTATTTCCTTTCAGGCTTTTAAATGGTGGATCTCGGGGACAGTGACAGGTCAGACATTCAGTGGAAAATTCCCCTCAGACGGAGTTAGATGCGCGGAATATGTTGTCTGAATGAACAGCTGAAGTGCCCGCTTCAGCTATGACAGGCTAAAAAAAGTCTTGAAAGCGTCGCGACATCTCTGTCGGTTTTTAGACAACAAAAATGCTTCTGAGAATAGGAAGCATCCCCGACACAGTGAGTCAGTGACTGATTCTGCAGACCTGCTCGCCAAGAAAAAAATTTTAATTTCTTGCGCGTCTACAAATGAATGCCCTTTCGGCCAAGAAAATATTGTACACATTTTTGATTGGTCAGTGAAGGGCTTTACTACCAGTCTTGTCACCGAACAGCGACTCGAATACTCGTCCAGAAAACAACTTTTGGCGGAAAAATTTGTAACCCCAGCTTCGCACAAGGTATAGTGGTATCAAATGGTCTTTGCTACCGTCTGAGAATTATTTTTGGCCCTCTTAAAATTGAAGTCAGTCGTATAATTAAAGCTTCTTGTGCCACCATTATCCCACTCTCCCCTGCTGCATGTGTTAACAAAATAAACAAAACATGACAATAAAATACACACCAGAAGCCAAATAACAGCATCGCAAAACACAACAAAAACAAAGGGACACTGCTTTGAAACAAAAGCCTGTGGGGAAGAGAGCGATTGGGCCTTCGGAGTCTCTACGAAGGCCAACTTTGGGGAAAGAATAATCATCATGCCCGATACGTGTTCCTTTTGTCATTTTTAAAACGTTTGTATGGACAGTGCGGCGCTAGGCGGCACAATCCGCTCCCCTTTTCCGTTTTATTCTGAATAGGCTTCACGAACATTCCCAGGGAAGGCATTCATACATATACGCCGCAAACAGTCAGTAGAATAGCAAGTGCTTGATCACTTCCTTTGAGGCAAGGTCACCGGAGCTTATTACCTGTGGAAACTATTTTATATTAACTCCCTGGGTTGAGGCTTATTTGACAAAGAGACGGAAGCAACTGAAGGATCGTGATTGGAGTCCCGGAATAACGAGCGGGGCCAAGCGAAGTTCAATTGAAACTTAAACCGTGAGCCGACACGAACACCGCAAATGGAAACCTAAACTCAGAACCCATTGACATTCTTGAAACGTAAGCCGTTCTCATAGGAAGTCGACTCGCCCAGTTCCGACTCGGGACACCAGGTAGTTAGCTGTCACAATGTCCGTGTCCGTTTGTTTATGTCCTTGTCCCTTTTTCTCCAGTCTCGGGTTTACCAAAATGCTCGGTAAAGGCTCCGACTGCTGCAGGTGACCCTTATGGGGAGAACCCACGGAACAAATAAAACAAGGACCTTCTCCTCCTCTCCCCCCCCCCCCCCCCCCCCTTTTTTTTTTGGAGCCACATTCCGGGTCTGCCCCCCCCGGGAAAATGGAAACTCTACGCCGCTGGATGGGTAAGAAGCATTCTAACCCAATATCGTTGCACGGTGTCACATAAAGTCGTTACTTAGAATAATTCAAACTCTGTCTTGAAACGTCAGTATTGTTTATTTTATGGCGTATGTGTCCCGGAGAAAAGCAGGGAGGAGCTTCGGTTGTCCCGCCTCCAGTGCGAGACTTCGAGAACGCTTCGGTGGCTGTCATGTAGGGAGGCTCTAATACTGTCATGCTGTCGCCGGTCGCGAACCTGGCGGTGCCCCAGCAGCGGTGGTGGATGTGGCAGATGCCTCTTCTGCTGCAGGTCATTCTCCAGTGTGACAGTCCACGGAAGTTTAGGAAGCCAGAAGTTGGCAGGCCACGACGACGACAGCGACACTCACTGTCGCTCGTGATTTTCACCAGCATTTCTACAACCAACCGCCAGGATCTCGACATCCGACAACATGACACTCCGGCTTCTGTGATGTCATTTGTTGCCATTGCGGAAGCACTTTTGACTAGGGGTGTCGCGAACCGGTCGCGGTTCGAGTTCGACCAGGTTCGACTTTTTCGAACTTTTAGTGGAAAGTTCGACGAACCTTGCATTGAGGTTCGACCCGTGTGCGCATGCGCGACAGGCTGGCCAGTTGGCTTCGGATTGGATGGTAATGGCTAAGAGATGAATTAAGTGCAGCGCTGATTGGCTATTTCAGTCAATACAGTACTAAAAATTAAGTTATTAACTTCTTCAGTGATTAGAATTAGTTTCTTTTAATTGCAGCTGTTCACAAAATAAAATAATCCCTTGCATAAAAAAAAAATTCTCCAAACCTAGACATGCTTGTATTAAGGTCTGGCCACACTGTCCATAAAGTCGAACCGGTCGAATCTGGTGAAAAGTTCGAAGGTTCGTCGAACCGGTTCGACTCAGTCGAAACCCGGAAGTTCGACCAAAAAATCTGGGTCGACAAAAGTTCGCGACACCCCTACTTTTGACGTATGGGCGGGGCGAGATAGGACGCTAAACAACGCTTTCAATTTTCAAAGCTACTGGCACAAGCACATGGTTTCATCCACGTTTCATCTATGGTTCTGTCAGTGTTTGACCGAGAACGCGTGCAAATGATCAACGAGATCAAGGCCCCACACTTGCGCCCTATGCTTGCGCCAGTAGCTTTGACAGAATGCAGTGTTAAAGTAGTAAGATAGATGGCGCAAGCTACCACCATAGTATGAAAGTATAGAAATATTTTATATCCACCAAGAAACCACTACCATCGATCCAGCCGCCACTGGCGCCGGATTCCAAACACATCCTCCTTGACTCCAAAGAGTCCAAGAACTGTTTCTGGAGTATTTGAGGTGCTCGTCGCGTTCGCGCCGCTTTCATTGGCTTTCCATTGATATAGGTAATTTCCCTGAGAGGTTTACAATTCAATTACGATTTTATATCTGTACATTTTAACGAGTGCAATCGTGTTTTGTACAGTACGTTTTCGCGGTCTCTTTGCAGGGCTCCGCTAGCGTCTCTGGGGCTGCGCCTAGGTCGTGCCTGCGAGTTTCTACCTCACGGCGCTGCTCACGGTTACGATGGAGGCAGCGACGACACCGGCCGCGCCGACGGCGTCGACCATGGCGGCCTGGTCGGCTTACCTGGTAGCCACGGCGAAGGCTTATCGACTCGAACAGGAGATGAAATGTACGGGTCGAGCTTTCGAGGTAAACGGCCAGGAGTTGAATGAATCCTTGTGACATTTTGTACGCAGCGAACGGCGAGCCTAGCGTATTTTGTACAGCTTTCTCCGGTGGCGCTACCCAGGAATGTTTCGAGATCCCGTCAAAAATTACGCCCTCTTTTTATACGGTCGATCTAAAAATACTGCAAAATAGCACGCAGGAAAAAAAAAAAAAAATAACAAGCTGGCAAGTCAATAACTTATATAGATAATACTTACTTCCAAGGGAGTGTATAAAATTGATAGACTTGCCGTTTTTATGGTGTGTTTTGCGCACGCCACTTTGCAGTATTTTGAGATTGACTCTAAGAGGGTGTAATTTTGAAAGGGGCCTATATTAAGCAAATTTACTTGGTCGTTTGAGCCGCAGACCCACTGATCATACATCGTATACAAGAGACACGGTGTTCACTGCAGTCATTATGACAGACTTATCTGGGGATTCACCTCACTCATGTTCGAAGACCGTTTGCTTGATACAATATGCTTCAAACATGGCTACAGACAGTTTTGGGCAACGTCTAGCAAATGTGATTTTAGTCCCAACTATTGGCTAGACGTTGACCAAAAACAGTTGCTCGTCGCACTGTCGCTGTCCGGTAGCTGTGAAGGGTGTTCATTCATGTTTGAAGCTTGATGTTGCAAAGGGAAATAGGCTTTGAACCATCAAGTATTGGACGTTGGAAACAGCATCCTGAATATGCAGCACTAATGAATGTCGTGCGGTAACTTGGACTTTTGCCGCTGCTCGAGCCCGTGTCAGGACGAAGAAATACTTATGGGTGTTAAAAATGTATCTAACTTGCCAATGTCAATGGACTCCACAAAGGAAATGATGAAACTGAACATCCACTCTCACTATCGGGTATTCTGTCACAATTCATACGGATCATTACTTCAGCTTGACAAAATAGCGTGCAGAGATTCATCTTTCCACACAAAATTGGTAAGATTATACACTGTTGAACAGCGTTCTTTTAATAGTTTTGGGTGCACTAACGATCAGGAGTGCTGTAGCTATGCTGGCAGCACCGTATGTTGCCTCTAGCCGTGCTGTAGCTGGGCCATGCCATCATGGCACCAATTTTCAACCTACAGTGCAGGGTGACGGAGCAGCTGCAGCGAATCTCGCTTCTTTCGGAAAAGACGGCGGCACTTCAAAACGAGGTCCACTACAAAGAACAGCTGCAGTCATCGAGTACCAGCCTGGCCGAAATGGTTTGTGCACCGTGGAAATGAATTAATACGTGACGTGACACTCCTGGGGTCCACTTTCGGTCGCCGCGAGAGCGAGATCTAATTTGCCTCTTGTGGGGCAAGCAGAGATGGCATTCGTGGAGAGTTGGTCTGCCAACGCTAGCGAAGAAAGCAGTTTGTCTTGCTGCGAACTACCATTTGCAGGCGGAAATAAAACAAAAAACACGACATTGTGTGCTAATAGACCGGGAAAAAAAGACTGTAGTCCGCTACTAAACGAGCACCGCGGCGTAGCGAGATTGGATGCAAGCCAAAATTGTGGTCGTCTGCCATTTCACGATGGAAGCCGGTGACAAGCCACTCTTCGTTTGCAAATCTGTTCTGCTGCCGTACACAAGCTGACATCGACCGGTGGGTGACGGAGTACAAGGATATGAGAGACCGCGAGACCTCTCTCACTCTTTGTGTGCTGGCGAGACGTTCTCACCAAAACATTGCCAGATCGTCGTTTCGTTGGTCGATTACGCCCAAGCTGGAGACACAATAGCTGAATACTTTGGGGGCAGGCCTCAAGCATGCTCCAAGTATCTTTGCTTCATACATATGTATGCTTCGAGCATGTCTGCAAACAGTTTTTGTAGGTCCAATGTGACAGGGCCATCATACTAAGAAGCAACATGCCTAAGACAGTGTCTAAAGACTGTCTTTTGTATGATATGTCAGCAGTCGAGAACATTCTCGCTCTCACCTTGACCAAAGTCAAACCCCTGCGATGTTGCCCTTTGCAAATTATGGTGCCTGAAGCAAGTCCTTTACCGGTGTATTTAGCCATGGCCGGGCTAGGGTGAAAAGGCTGTCTTTCGTCCTTCACATGGAGGGTAGCTTCTCCTAGGGTGCCTTCATGTGCACTTTCCTTGGGGTGATGTCATCCTTTGTAGCACACAAAGCCATCAGCATGTGCTCACAAAAAAAGATATAAAGAAATAGTGCAAAAAAGATGGCGCCATACCTCAGGTAGAGCTAAGAGTGTGGGCCAGCACATGCTGTTTCACGCGCTCCGAGCAAAACATGAAAATGAAAGTCGTGAAACAAAATGTCTCATTGTCACCATCCTGAAGGCACCCTAGCTTCTTCCTCCCGCCGCAGCTCGCTGGGGTCGCTGCGACTAAAGTTGCCCAATATTTCAAAATATCGCCGTCGATAGCGTCCCCTGTGACTATTCGATTTTAGCTTCGGTCGGCAATCTTAGTGCCGAAACATATGTGGTGGAAAGGGTTTGAGGGATGCTAACTTCTCTCTCCCAGGCAGATGCGCCGCAAATTACCACCAAGGTTAGGACGCGCCCAGGTCGAGACCGAAATTACCGGTGAGACGTTGTACAAAAATGACGTAAATTAAAAATTAATGAAAACGTCACGCTCCTGCCATTCTGTACTAATCTCCAGTAGAAGTTTTTACAAAAAGCTTTTTTTCCATTTGTTTTTACGCAAAAACATTTTGGTACTCTGGGAACATTTAGTGACTAGCTGCAACGTCGCCCCCTCCTACAGTACTTAACTCCTTCCAAGGAAAGCCCCAATATCACCGTGTTGGCCTCTTCGGTCCAAATTCGAATCGGAGGAATTTCTAGACTAGCTAGATCTACAGGACTTCAGGTCATTTGCCTGCCAGCACTTATGCAAAGCACCGTCTTTTTTAAAAAAAATATTACTTTTTCTTAAACGGGCGTTTGTTTATTGTAAGCCAGAATTACTTCAATCGGCGCACTGAAGATATTTCGCGCGAGTACATCGACACACAGTTTTGCTCATGGTGGTCTGAGCAGTCCTTCAGGGTGGTTCAGGCAGTACCGAGAGGAGTGGCATAGTCTCGCCCCCGTGCGGCCGGGAAAGAATCGTGTCGCTTTTAAACGAGAGCAAAGGCTCTAAGGAATGTTGCTGTCTAGCCCGTCCGTGGCCTGGCGTCCTATACTGCACGTGTGTTGAAAGTAGTCCCAAAGGGGCAACGGACGGCGTCGCAAAAGCCGGAGTGTCGCGCTCGTGGGTGTTTACTCTAGTCACTACCCGATCGGGCCCCGCCTCGAACTCGGAGATCACGCAACGCGAGGTACGAAGGATCTACTGTCTCGTGGTTGGATGATCCGGAGGCAGCGCCTTGTCCTTTATCGCTCCGTTGCCAACCGTTCGCAAGCTCGCTGCCTGAGCACTGCCCCGTGCCGTCCCCTTCTTCTCACTTGGCCCCCGCAGGCCTGCAAAACATGCAGCGTCATCCGCGGTGCCAAAAGGAATGCTGGGAACGGCCCATACAGAACCAGTTGTAGCAGACGGCGGAGCACGTACAGGCGAGCGAGCAACTGCGCTGCCTCCCTTTCTTTCTCTCTTTAGTGTCGCATGATAGATGCTATGAGAATGAAGAGGAGGACTTTGTGCACGGCCTTTTTGAGATGTTTGCATAAAAGGTCTATCGGGCACAGAGATGTGCAAAGTCCTAAATCACATGGAACGCACTGAATCGGCTAAAATGATTCGTGACATCTTTCCGCGGCTCCACTCGAGGTAAAACGGTGCACACCTTACTCCCGTCTGTGGTTGAAGACCAACGTGCATGCTCAGTTTTTTGTAGGGCAGAAGAGCGAATGTTGGCCTTTAACTAGCTTGGCTACCCATTCTTCACAGTATCGAGAGGCTGGTCTGGCAGATGGACAGTTGAGGCTCTTGGGAGAACTGCTTGGGGAGGTGCATGAGCTCGCCGACAGGATCTCCAGGGTGAACCAGCGTGTCATCTTCAGAAATGTCGAGCCCGTGAATCAAGGTAAGCCCTCAACACCCGACACGTTTAGAGCCTGTCGAAGATCCCCTTTGTTTGAGAAATGATGCGAGAATGTTCCAGAGCAGGTCTTGTGTAACCTTGGTGCAGCTGGTTTGGTTACAACAGACATCATGAAACTCATTTGACAGGTTTGGCTGAGTTGCTTTGTCTTGGGGCAGGCTTGTCTCACAGTGAATTCTGTTGTAACAAACATTTGGGCATGGCAGATCCAATTACAGTGGACATTCGTACAGCAGTCTGTGCCAACAGAGATTTGATTATAGTGGCAGATTCTATTATAGCGCTTTTGGATAGAGCAGATTCTGCTACAGCAGAATCTGCTCTATCCAAAAGACATAAAGAAACAACGAACACAAGGAGGAAGATAGACACAGGCGCATGTGTGTGTGTCTTCTTCCTTGTGTCAGTCGTTTTTTTTGCACCATACACCATGCTTTATAACGTTCACCAAGTAGCCCACAGGTTCTAAATATTATGCAGCTTGTGACAACAGAGATTTGGATATAGTGGCAGGTTTTATTACAGCAGACTCTTTGGATATAGTGGATTTGGTTAGAGCAGTCATTTATATACTACAGCAGTTTGTAACTACAGAGATTTGGATATAGTGACATATTCTATAGACCGACACACTGTTTACAAACAAGCCCGCATTCGCCCACACCAGGTGTGGGCACTGCGCGTGCGCAGAAACCGAATTCGCGTGACTTGAAGCGTCTGCGTATGCGCAGTGCCGTCCACAGCGCCACCGCAGCTGCGTGACGTCAGGGCCGCGTGTTGGTCTATAATTGCAGAGCTGGATTAAGAGAATTCGTGGCCCTGGGCTAAGGTTTCTTCTGAGGCCCCTGTGATGATGATGATGATATGACTGGTCAACGCAGTACTTTTTGAAAAGCCCGAGTTATTTTTATATTTTTGACCTTGTGCCTTGTGCCTTGAGCAATGACATTGCCCAAAAAAGGGTCACATTTTGTGATAACTTCAAGTGCTATTTGTAGGCTGTGGGATTTCCCTTGCTGCTACCCATCTGAGAGAATGACACAGCACACCGGTTCAACAACACGTAAACATTTAATGACCGCTATCGCCTGCGCCGCAATCCCAACCACCCCCGCGCATCCGCTACGACAGCCTTTTATCAGTGGCGGAGCGCCGCTCGCGTGGCCAGTTGCCCTTGGCCCCCTCGTGGTCAAAATGGCTATTTATGATTGTCGGAGGGGCAGCCTGGGCCAACCGCTTGGAATCGCCAGGTTGCCCACAAGGCAAATGGAACGCAGTAATCTAATGTCGGCCACGACTCGCTTTCCAGTAGGCGCTCTGGGTTAGAAGTGCTGTTGTGACCGAGGAGCTCCCCAGGCAGGATCGGGGAGGGCCAGGCCAGGCCAGGACAGGAACCGCAGGACAACTCCCGGCAGCAACATCAGGAGACTGGAGGGTCTCTCACGATAAACTCTGTTTAATACACATCTACAGAAGTATCTACATCGTCCGAGAGCACCTTTGCGACCTCTTGTTCACTCCTTTTATAAGGTCGCTGTTCGTTCGCCCGGCGGTTGGCAGCCAATGGTGGCCTATCTGCCACCAAACGTCGCATCTGGCTTCGCCCCCGTTCACCCCTCAAGCATGCACATACACACACACACACAATGTCACAGCAGACGGATTGTGATGACTCCCTCCATTAGGCGACGCTGTTGTTCAGGAAGGGGTTTGGCCAGATAATTTGCGGGTGGTGGCAGACGATTATCCAAACTGTTCTAGGAATGGTCGACCTTTGCGGAAGTCCATATCGGGAGCAAGCCCCGTCCATTGTGTCTGAGGTATGATTCCCGCAGGTGGCTCAGTCACTCGGAATTTTTGTTCGGTAATCTGCCGTCGAGGTCTCCGCGGTAATTAGGCGGCTTAACTCCTCATCCAGGTGTCGCGACGTCAACACGGCACCGGGCTAGGTTGCCAGTCATTATCGGCCCAGACGGCCGGTCATTGACTTTCAGTGGGGGGCACACCCCCACCAGGGGGTCGAGAAGGGGTACGAAGAAAAGAATGTGACCCTGACCAAGGCCCATCGCAACAATGCCGAACTATCTTTTTGCTATTATCGTGCTCAATAGTGCTCGGTTCTCTGTAGCTATGATGGCGGATCGAAAGGTGGCCCTTGGCCATGGAGGTAGGAAGCTTCTGGGAGCAACATAACGCCACCAAGGGTGAAGCCGGGGGAGATTATTGGTTTGGAGGGACACCCCCCCAACAATGACCGAAACCAAAAGATGCTATTGAACAAAAAGGAGAGCTGATTTGGTGCCAACGTCTGTTTTGGTCACCCTTGGGGGCGTTCCCACCGACTGTGACCTCTACTTCCGGCTTCACTTCGGATTTTCTCGTTTCGCCGTGGCTTGAGCCGGTATGTCGCCTCCTCTCCTTCTTACCTCCATGCTCGTGGCAGACGCTCACATGCAGTGGTGAGCGGGAAGGACAGAGCAGAGACAGACCAGCATCTTTACCAGTCTCTCTGGCATGATCGATGGATTGCACTCGGTGGTCATTGTATAGATTTTTGATGATCCAGGTGTCAGAGTCTTCATTGAATGTCTTGGGACAACTGGTTGCATATTTGGTCAGTTTTGGTAGCTTTTCTCACTCCTCTCTTTTCTGGACTCTGCTTTCCACTTATGCCCCTATCACATTAGGTGCGTATGACCTGACATTCAAACTGGAAATTAAAAAGAACTGCGGAACCGGAAGAACATATATTGCTTGTTTTCGCGACTCGAACCAAAGTACTAAAATATGGCTACCGCAGACGAATGATGTGATCTATTTGGCTACTCTCTGCTTTCACTCTGGCAGAAACACGAAGCCCAGCTAAAAATGTCGTCCATTCGTCGTTTGTTGTCAATCTCCTCCTTTTTTCTTTTTGTGAATTCCAAGGAATGTTTCAATATGTAACTTTTTTTTTTCTGGAAGGCCAAAGGCATTTCTTCTGGCTTGAAATAGGCAGGAACATTTTAAACTCATTGTTATAGAGAAGGCATTCTCCACATTGCTCAAAGGTTCAATATAAAGATCGTGAACACATAGAGAAATAAAACCACGTGTGAAGCTTTCAGCGTAAACACAGACTTGATTAAAGGCCCACTATTGTTCCTGAAATAAAGGCTAAAAATACCCCATAAAAAAAAAAGAAGAAAGATTTAGGCCTTCCTTCTGACTTCAATTAGGGCAAGCTTCCCTGAGACTGCAGTGGATTCAGCTCTTTCCCCTTCGCTAGGCAGCATCAAAGGCCACGCTTCAAAAACATGTGTTGGCACGCATTATACCAGTAGACACGAGCTTGAGTAGGACAGGGGGAGAAGGTATTCAGAGTATTTTCCTTTCCTTTCTTTAAAGAAGGATGTGACACCCGAGAAGGTTGGGGGCTCCTCCACGTCTTTTATTGCTCAAAGCCGTTTTGAAAAGAACGCAGAGGAGTGGCGTGAGGTGCCGTCACTCGTCAAATTTATTGGGTCATTCTGTACACCAACCAAAGAAGCTCGCCAAGCAGAGTGTTGTTTGGTTTCGCTTGCAGTGCCAGTATCTTTGCCATGCCTCTCTTGAATGCTGTAAAAACATTTTCCAAAAAGTGTTTGTTTTGTTTATGAAAATTGTATTTTTCTGTTTCATTCTTCCCTTCAAAGTATTTTTTGTTCATTTTTTTTTTTTTATGAGCTACTGTATGGGGCTTTTCGAAGGCCAGGGCCCCTTGAGGGCCGGGACCCTTGGGCTGCAACCCCCCTAGGCCATACCTTAATCCGGCCCTGCTTTATATAATACCGCAGTTTGTGACTACAGATTTGGATATAGTGTAATATTTCATATTAGCGGCACTGACTAAGGGAGCAAGGAGGCTGCCGAAACTAAACATTTGATGCTAGTACTGAGGTGTTGTAATATAGACAAATGTAAAATATTTGTTCCCATTTTTCAGAAGCTCTGAACGCAATATTTGCGGACTTGGAGCGGTGCCTGCAGTCGATGGAGACTTTTGCGGGTGTAGAAAGGTGCTTGCGTGAAGAGGAGGAATTGGCGATCAAGGAGATGATTGCAGAAGAGCTTTCCAGGTACGGTAGATTCTTTTAAAAATCTGTTGATCAACTGATAACAGTGCTTATAGTTGGCGGCAAGCTAAAAATACAGTAGATGTTCTCCGTCCAGCGTAAGCTTTCTGCCCTTGATAACACTTACTTTGTGGTGCACACACAACCAAAGTGCAACAGAAAGCAATGAGCACATGCTGGAAGCTGAGCTTCTTTTTAGCGCATTCTTAAGGCCCGTTCACACAGTTGCGTTCGGAGCGACCACTATGCTCACGAACGCAAGCAACCGCTGCGACTTCAACAACTGTGCGCGACGTGTACACACACATGCAACCGCATGCAACCACATGAATCAATAGCCAATGAGAAACGAGCTTCAGCTCTTAATCCTAGCCAATAGTAAGCAACCCAGCAACGCTTACAAACGTGGCGGACGGTTTCCTGCCCGACGCAAGGTCCACCGTCCTCACTGGAGCAGCCGGAGGTTTCGGCTACGGCGTACAGTCATGAAGATCTGCTGTGCGCCTACAATAGCTGTGCAAAGGCTGGTTCAGACATCTGAAACGAACCCGTTATCCACGACTGCGTCCGTTGTGACCGGAACGACCGCTCTGCGCCGCACATACACTCCTACAACCACTGCAACAAGTGCAGTGCGTTGGCAGCACGGCGACCGCCTTTCCGCCACCGTCAGCTGTTTCAGCAGTGCCTTTAAAAAGAAGGGGACGCGCTGCCGCTCACTTGCTTAACAGAAAATAGACGGACTGTCTTCCATGACCACAAGCTTTCTTTTTTTATTTTTCAGGATACACTTGCAGGGTAGTGCATTAAAAAAAAAAAAAAAGATGCAGTATGCGGTTTTGCACGATAACGACTTTAATACACGACTTTGCCAACAGTACAAATCTTGCCACATGTCTTTTTTATGATTATAAAAGACAATGTAATCTTAGCAGCGATATAGCAACGTA